TTTTTTTTTTTTTTTTTTTTTTTTTTAATTGTGGTTTGGATGTTGCAGCTAGTAAAGGATATTTTTGCTCTGTTCAGCAGTTCTAAAAACTGCTGAAGTAGGGGCCAGGTCACTGGTAGTTATAGTATGGAATGGGAGAAGTGAAAGTTCAGTTATAGAACTTTCCATACTTCCAAGTTTACTGCAAGTTTTTATGCTTGAGAGAGATGCTTTCTAATATAAGACTGATGTGTTGATTTTACTGATTGTACTGTACATCTATTAAAGCCTTAGATTATTACATTACGGGTTGGAACCCATACCAATGTAATTTCAATCGTGTTAAGAGAGTAATGGTGACTTCACATGTTATTGTAGTTAGTTACATTATAGAATATTACTTATTTTTCTTGTTAAAATGTAGTTTTTCATTTCCTACATTTATTAGATTTTCATTTTCTATTAACAATTGAATACCATTTCAGTTTATAGACTATTGTTTTATTAGATTTTACTGATGAATTTTTCAAAATACAAAAAAATTAAAGTAGTTTTTCCTTCATAACATACTCAGTTTTGAATTACATGTAGTGTTATATGGATATTCGTATTATTGTTAACTAAATGATTTATATTTTACTGATTTAATATTACAGTGTAAGAATGTCAGTCATTGTTAGTTCTTGTCTAGTTTTCATTAAAAGAACAAAGATCTTTTATATGGATATCTTATAAATATATAATCATTGCTAAGTAAGAAGTTAAGTTGTTGCTATTGCAACAATCCTGGCAGACAATTGAGTAATATTTTGATGATTTATTTTGTTTGTAATTAGTTATTATAAGAAGATCTAGATCCTAGATATTAGAATAAAATTTATTTTCTACTGTATCCATTTCAAATGTTAAAGTATTGTTTAATATTTTTGAAATCCCTGAATATCAGGCCTTGTTATAAATAAGCTGCATAATCAATAAATAGAACAAGGGACTTTTTGTTGATAATCCAAATACTCAAAGTTTACGTAATGAGAATTATAGCGTGTGTGCAAACTCTTGAGGGTTGATTAATGCTGCAATTTAGCATGTTGGGACGTCTAGAGAGAAGGTTGACTTTTTGCACTTCTGTATATAGTCAAAAGAGAGAAACCTGTATAATAGTAAGATCTTATTTTGAATAAAAACGTCTATAATTACAAGGAGTTTTGTTAAGGCTAATAAAATGACAGACTGAGCAAAATTGCTTGCAAAAGTGGCACAGAGTTAGCACTCCATACCCCTTCAAACATGTTGCTTTGCTTTTTGTGGACAGCTTGTAGTTTGCCAGGATATTTTCAGCTGGAAAGATATGTCATCCTTCCAAGATCTCATGACTGACAAAAACTTCATTGGGCCAAATCTGCCTGAAGATCATTACCAAAAATAGCAGGTACTTCGACCATTAAGGTGAAATCATGGATCAAATATTCCTTACATTTTTCAAAACTACTGCATGTTTAAAACTTCAAAGAGAAAAACAGAAAGAACTATACTAAGGACATCTATTATTCAAATCAGTTTCTGCCAATTTTAGTGGTTTATTGTTCACAAAAAGAAATCTTCAAAACAAGTATTGACTTTCACAAAATTTAAACCATAAACAGGCAAACCAAACAGCCACCGTAGCTGTAGTTGTTATGTGATTGTTTTTTAATTGCTGTAGGATCCTGTTCTTTCAGCAGGTGAAAACAAAACAAAACAAAACAAAAAACAGTTCAAATTTCATGGTTTTAATTTTCAATGCAGAAGCACTCAAAAAGCAAGTTGTGATAATGAGCACTTGTTTAATGAATTAGTCCATCCAGCCTCCACTCCAGCTGGTGAATAATGTTGCACTTATCAGCAACCCTACCACTTTCATCTGCTGAAAGGACAAAATGTGCTTGGTTTTACTATTATGTAATCACAACTTACTTTCTGCTTGTAGTTGCTTAAAATTATGTATTTTGTCTTGGGCTCCAATTTGTTTTATGCTTATTTTATTATTACTGCAGTAGTTGACTTTGCTGTATGGAAAAATAAAGTGAAATTGCCCTAATAAAACTTCTCTTTCTTAAGTATATTTGTGTATCTGAGATTGAATAGTAAAGTATTTTTGTGCATTTCATGTATGCACGCATGTACATTTTCAGGAACATCTGAAACATAATTTCATTATCTGGTGTTAATAGATTGCAAGGAAGGCATTTATTTCTTTCTCACTAATTAATCTTTTGATACTGAGGATCTGAATCAGATGTATTGCCACCCTGTGCCCAGTGTTTTCTGAAAACTCTTGCCCTTTTCTGACACTTACGTGCTAACTTAAATGTAAAGGAGAAAACTGTAACAACAACACAAAAGACATCAATCAGTTCTAGATCACTGTCTTTTAAAAAATGCTATTTCCCTGTGTGATCAATCTGACTAGCACTGGAAATTAGCCACTGTAAGAAAATTTCAGTAATGAAACACGTGATGACAGTTCCTTCAGAAGGATAAAAGAGTTTATGCACACACCCCACTGAGCCAACCCATGACCTAACTCCTGAGTGTGTGCGATACTTAGTTGTAGATGAACTCCCCACAGTGAATGCAATCATGTACTGAAAACATGTACTAATAATTTAAAATTTTGAAGATATTTTGTTTGAAGTAAGGGCCTAGTATCTTATAAAGACTTTTCATGAAGGCCAAAGTTCCATTATGGAGAAATTTTGTATATTTGATCTTTAGTTCTGCTTTAAATTGACTTAGCCCCTGGGTATTTGGTCAAAGACTGCAAATTTTCCTTTGTAAGTTGATCCCTCTTTTTCTCCCTGAAAACTTGTTGCAAGAATCAGAAGTCCATTATTTATAATTACAGTTCTGTGTCTGTTTGAGTTCTATGGGACATTTTTGTTGTTCTCAACAGACGCAACTCTTCTAGAAGCTTTTCTGTGAAAAAGAAAATGACTGGCATGGAGATGATTCCCTAAAGCAAAGGGACATGACTTTTTGAGTACAAGAAGACATTGACTCCAATTAATGATGGTGGTATTTTGGGTACCTTCTAATTGAACGAAGGAACTATAACAAAAAGCCATTGTAACTTTTTAGTACTCTAGATGAAACTGTATTTTATTAACATAAGAGCAAATGAACATGTCTGAAAAGTGGTATATGAGATACTTTTTTTCCCCCCAAACAATACTTAAACTCAGAAGGTTAAACCTGCTGCAGAGCCAACTAGAGATCCTCAGTTCACATGATCCTCTCTTACAAATTACTTTCTTCTTTCTCAGTTATGGGAATAAAATCTCTTGCTAGAACTACTACGTTATAATGGACCCTCGGACAGTGATGGCGACCCCTTTAGAGCTTTCAGTGTTACAGCCCATTGCAGCCTACGTGCCGTATATTTTCCCCACTGGCCTGGGACATCCCCATTTTAAATGTTCAAAATCAATTCTGTTGACAACATGAAGGAAAAGATGTGAAATTTAGATGGTTAAAAATGGAAGGATTTGCTCTTGAGCTCTCCTGATCTATGACAATACAATGCTTTATTGAAGCGACTTTAATGTAGCACCTGTGCCATCCCCATCCTCAGCCCAGTCTCTGGCACTGTCCCTCTTAGGGTGGTCAGCCACGTGTCGCTGGAAAGGGCTTCGGCACCCACAGTAGTTGGGGTGGATGGTAATCCAGGAAATATCCCAGAATATTGTTGGCCAAGTCCACACAGGGCCG